AAAAAAAAAAAAAAAAAAAAAAAGATATTGAAATTATTCTGATCAAATATTTAAATTAAATATTATTAGCCTGTAAAATTCAGGTATTTCTTAATAAAAGGCAGAATTTAAAACATTTAATTTTGGCCAGAATTTGCTAAAATTCTATATTTTAAGCTAGATTTATAAGTTATATAAATTTGGCTATATGGTATAAATATAGATTATAAGATTTTTTTCATATTATAATAATTAAAAAGATTATTATAAGATAAACACAATACTGTCAAAAAATAGCTAAAAAAAGAAAACAAGCCATGGAAAATATTAATAATTCAAATTTAAATGATAATGAAAAATTGAAAATGAGGCAGAACAAATTTTTTCAGTTTTAATGAAAGTATAAAAATATTAAAAATATCTAAGCATCCATTAATAAATTTAGAAAATTCTCATACAACTTAGTATCAACAAAAAATCAAAGTACAGTTAACTCTTGTTATAATGAACCTTAGGGTCTAGACCTCAACTTTACTATAAGACTATAGTGAAGATTTTAAGAGATAAAAATAGTCAAACATTTTTTCAACTATTTTTTTAAAAAAAAGGTTAGGAAAATTTAAATAGTAACATACAAGATACACAGGTCGAAAAGTGAAAAATCAGGCATCAATCAGTCACCAATCGGGCACCAAGTAGCTGATTGGTGACCGATTGGTGACTGATTGATGCCTGATTTTTCACTTTTTAACCTGTGATATTAATATTCATGATAATAGGAAATTAGTAAAAAAAATAATAATTAATCTATAAAATATAACTCTTTTATTAATTAGATTGAAAATAAATTAAAAATGCAGTTTAAAGCAATTCAATATTACTTTCAACTTCTAAGAAAAAGGTATGTAAAATTAAAAGCAAGCCAGATTGTTGCAGAAAATTTTAAATCATAAATTATAATTTGCATTTTGCATTTTGCATATTAAATTAGAAATTGGGAAATCTCTAAAAATAATTGTAAACAACATTTAAAAGAAACAGTATTTTTGGTGATAAAGATATTCAATTAAAAGTAGCTTTATATTTGCAATAACACAAATTTGATATTACTATTAATAACTATTATAATTTTATTAGCAAAGAAATTCTTTCTTCTGTTAATATAAAAAATAAAATAATAATTAGATATAAATTAATTTATTTATTCTACATATTTAATTTTTTTTTTTAATTATTAGAATTTCTAAATATCTGATTATATTTTTCAGCAAAAAAAACAGCAATTTAATGGTTAAAAAAAAGGGATTTATATTTAACTGATACTCAAAAAATATATATATTGATGGACATGAAAGGTTAAAGTTATAGATAGGTATTATATTAATTTTCATCAATAAAGATAAATTGATTTTTATTTATTTTTTTTAATTAACATAATTTTATTTACAGATATCAAAAATTAATGCCAAAATTTATTGGTAAAAAATGTGAAATTCAAGTTAATTTTGAATTAAAGGATGGTGAATACTTATATATTCTTGTTACTCATGATAAAACGACTTTTCAATTAAATGATAAATAGAAATCTGGTTGGATACCTAAAATTTACAAGGACAATCTATTTATATTAGTGATTTTTTAACAGATACTATTGGTAGATTAGAATAAGTGAAGATGATGTTATAAAGCATATGTTATAATTAATTCTGAAAAAAATTTTTAATAAATGGTAAAATGTTAATCAATTAATTTAATCAGATATATATATTAAAAATAATCAAATCAAAGCAAATATCTAAATTTTTTTGATTCTTATTTATAACTATACCAATTTTTTAAAAAATACATTCTGGAATGGTCACAATATTTGCATTTGATAATTCCTCCAGTCATGTAAAATTAGCTAATGATATTCTTAATGTAATGAACATAAATCTTAATTCCAGTAAGAAACAGCCAATTATACGTAATACTATTTTTTAATGGACAAATTAAGAACGTGGCTTATAAGGATCTGGATTAAAAGGATTTTGTGATAATAAATAGAAAATCCAAGATGTTATACATATCATATTTTGGCTGCTTAAGAGGATTTTCTTAATCAAAAACCAATCTTACAAGTTATTGAAGAATTTGGACATAAAATTATATTTTATTTCAAATTTCATTGTAAACTCAATTATATTGAAATATACTGGAAAGCTGCAAAATATTATAGACAGAATTTTTTCGAAGTGTGAAATAGTATTTGTCACGCACTTATTTGTCATATGGTCAATTTCTTTAATGCCGTAATGCCGGCCAAATGTCACGTGGAGTGAAAAAAATTTGTGGCGACACTGGGTAGTTAAATACTTATTAAAAATGAAAAGTGGAGGGGGGTGACGCGATGTGACAAATATCGTTGGTGATCCTAAAACGCTTGAATGCATATTGACGATAAAAAAATTTTTTCTTTTGCAAACTTTGTAAACACTCTTTCAACTCTATCAAATTTCCATCTAGTTATTTTACATTAAATACAACCTGTAGTAATTATTTTTTAATTAAATTTTTCGTTATATATTCTGAATTTTTGGGGTTTTTTATTCTTCAATAAACTAACTAATGATATTTTCCTTTTTTTAGAATATTTTTTTACTGGCTTTAGGTTAAAGAAGTAAAATTTTGTAGATAAGTTTTAAGAGGTTTTACATATTTTTTGACTTGTTTTTTAACTGATACTACGCCACACAGCTGATGACTGGAGAATTCCGTAAATGAATATTAATAGCAAAATATATGAGAACACTTATTAAGCAAAGAATTCACCGTGAAAGCCCAATATCTTTCTTTGAGATCTTAATTCCAACTCTTACAACACCATTATCTCATAAAGACAAAATAAAATATTATGGCAAATGCGCAAGATCGATTTAATGAGAGATATGACGACGATAAGGATACATATGAAATTATTCTTGATCATAATCAAAATGGTATATTTAAAGGAGAATTAATTATCGAAAATTTTACCGAGTTGCAGTATGTGAAAGTAGCGGGAGAACCATCTTGTAGAGGAGGTTTAACTAAACTAATAGTTAGAAACTGTGAAGAATTGACTCGTTTAGATTGTAGTATTAACAGTATTGATAAGTTAATTGTTACTGATTGTTCGAAATTAGAGGAACTAGATGTATCTAGTCAATATCGTATGGTCAGTAATGATTTGGAAGTGAAAACTTTAAGTGAAATAAACATAGGAGAGATAGGTCACAAATTAAAAAAAATCAATGTCTCTGACAATAAATTGAGAAATGCAGATCTTTTAGATCTTTTAGGCAGTGATAATCCAGATTTAATTGAGATCAAATGTTCAAGTAATAGTTCATTGAGCCATATAAATGTTAAAGGTTTTCGAAAACTTAAAAAGTTATACTGTGGTGGTAACCAGCTTTCCAAATTAGACCTTACGGAAAATTCAGAATTGGAAGAGCTGTATATCGAGAACAATGGAATTTGTGAAGATGATTTAACCTTTTTATCACATTTAACGAAGATGAAAGTTCTCTCCTTAGGAAACATAAGGAGTACTAATTTATCATTTTTCAACAATTTCGGTGGTTCCTTGGAACCTTTAAAAAGAATGCGAAGATTAGAGAGACTTATTATTATTGGCATCAATATTGATGATAGTGATCGACATTTGTTGCCAAGGAATTTGAAAATTATTAAAGAATAAGAGATTATGCCTCTTTTTTAATTGCCAAAAGGGAATACTGTATATTGTATTTTTATAGTAGTATCAATGTAATTTATTATTAAACGAATTATCAATAAAGCATTTTTATATTAACATTCTGTTTATTCCTCATCCATATAAATAATAAAATCTGACCCGGTCGTTCTAAATTTAGCCAATCTTTAAATGATGATTGGCTAATTTAGAACTTGTAATTTAAATTTTTGTCACGAGAATATATCGTAAAGCGTTAATTACGTTAATAACATAGCATCATAATGTAATACCGTAATCCAATTATACCATAATTTTATAGTGTTAGAGCGCGTATAAAAGTACATTATGTATATGGACGTCGGAATAGGATTGGCCAATTTGATTTTGGGGATAAAAAATGAAAATTTCCAAAACCACATAATTCAAACAAAAAATATAAAAAAATATTTTAATTCCAAAAGCTAAATAAAAAATGATCTAAATGCTGGTAACTAGCTACTTCTTGATAAACTCTGAGATATCGCCAGATAATAAATAACAAACTTATTGAATCCTAAGCATCATAGTTAGAATTCACTAATAAGTAAATCAAACCTTATACATTTCGTAATCAACTTATCTAAAAATACAAAATAAATATATGTACATACTATATATTAACTGTTAAAAACCAATTTATGAAAATAACTGATATTATTTACTTACTGTTATTAAATTTCATTTATTAATTTTGAAATTGCAATCGAAGGTCCAATTTGCAAACCTTCTTGATCCGATGTTACGTCCTTTACGCTCCACTTAAGGAGTTTTGACTCATCCTGCACGAATGTTTCTGACTCTATAGCTTTCTGATAATATTATTTCTGAACTTTTACTGCATACAGTAGATTTTTTCGTAATTAACGCTCACTGGAAACTTCGGTTGATTACACTACATCATCATCGTTAAATATAGCAGTGTATATATTTTTGCACTTGTTAAAATGTATATAAATATGGAAAATTTTGTTTTGACTTGTTGCAATTCCGCGCTTGCAACACCGCTAATATTTTCGATCCCAGTAAATCAATTTCGTCAGATTTCATTACATGAATTTGTACAGCATCAACTGAATGAAAGTAGGTCCAAGATATTCTATTACAGGAACTCTTTAAACAAATTTTGAAGGTATGTTGCAGGAGTTGGTTCTGGTACAGTGTGTTATTAAATTGATTTCGAAATATAGTAATTTTCGTAATCAGGTTTGTGAGGTGCGTATACTTTAATTTCAGACATATTCGAAGTTTGGTAATTTAGAACATAAATTTCGCGAATAAACCGAGTTTATGTTAAGTATTTAATTAATTTAATCAACGCGACTTTGGATCTTTCGGTCCAGTTGGTGGTCATTTAGATGACGTAATATCATCTGGTTTTTCATGTTTTTAATAAAATTTTTTATTTCATTATATTATCAAAATTTATTATTCATATTGTTATTATAATAATATAAAATAATAAAGAAAAATTTATGGTTTTAATATATAATATTCTACACAATAACACAGCATTAATAATATAATGACAAGATAAATATAAATAACTGTGTTATTTATAATATTTTTAAAAATTAAGAATTTTTTTGAAAATATGTGAAAAACTTTATTTGATAAAATAAATGATTTGCAAAATAGAATTAACATTAAATCATTATTAAAAAAATTGAAGAATGCATATTAAATCACTATATATATATAAGGCATGTTACTCTTCTTAAATAAGGCATATAACATAAATTATACATAAATTATACATTATGTCTTATATATATAATATTATGTATATGGGCCAATTCTTGGAATCTAATTTTTTTACACAAAAAAATTTTGTTAAAGCAAATATAAATTAGAAAAAATGTACGTTATACCGGAGATACCAGTATCTTATACATGTAGCCGAAACTTCTATGAAGTTGGATAAGGTTTCAGACTTTCAGTAATTTAATTATAATAAATTATTAAAAACTATTCAGAAATCCATCTGAAACTCTAAAGACTTTATATTATAGTTTCGGCTGGATGTAGAAATTAATTTTTATCATTTTTTAAACTTAATTTTAATTTAAAGATATGGCCAAAAATCACGTGAAAAGGTTTCAGACCCCAAAATATGTGATTAAACTTTTTGATTTATAATACATACAATAATCTCTTTTTATACTCGAACAAAACTTTTTTTATATAAAAACTATTTTTCTTTCTATTTAAAATGTGAATTTTTTAACAAATATTTTTTCTTATTTAATAGATATTTCACTTAAACACAATTTCATGAACTTTTTCTGAACATGAAAATTTTACTTAAACACAATTTTATGAACTTTCCTGAACACAAAAATCAATTTCATGAACAACTTTTCCCAAATATAATAATTTAATAATTTTTATACATGGTGAGTGAGAGTTGCGTTTGCTATAGAATTGCTTAGGGTTAGGATTAGAGTTAGGTGCATTAGTTTATGTGATTATTTAGAATTAGGATTAGATATGTTTACTAGAGGATTGTTTACTAATTGTTTACGCTTACTTTAATTTTTTTAGATATTTGAAAAGATTAATGATCTTGACTTTAAAAATCCATCAGTTGATATACCACTTGAAGATGAGATTAATTTATTTGAATATAATGATTTTGTGAAGATGAAGTTGAAGATAGTCCTTTAAAAGAATTGTATAGTGGGTAAGGATGGTGCTGCAATTGATTGATCAAATCCGCAATATTGCGGATTTTGGAGTTGAATTACGGTTAGTGATCCGCAATTCCGCAATTCACTTGGCACTAGTTTACCAAACCGATTTAATAAAAAAAATGTTTACGCAACATTTTTTTAACCAATTTAAAGAAAAAATGTTGCGAAACATTTTTTCAAAGTGCTTTTAATTAAAAGAACGTTTGCTCAACGTTTTTTTAATTAATTTAAAGAAAAAATGTTGCGAAATGTTTTTTCAAAGTATATTTAATTAGAAAAAATGTGTCACAACGTTTTTTTAATTAATTTAATGAAAAAATGTTGCAAAATGTTTTTTCAAAGTATTTTTAATTAAAAAAAACGTTTCGCAACATTTTTTTAATTGATTTAAAGAAAAAACGTTGCAAAACATTTTTTCAAAGTATTTTTAATTAAAAAAAACGTTTCACAACGTTTTTTAATTGATTTAATGAAAAAATGTTGCGAAATATTTTTTCAAAGTATATTTAATTAAAAGGGTATTGCTAAATATCACCAGTGGTGATCATCATCACATGTAAAATATTTTTTGAATTTTCAAAAATTTTTGACTGTGACATTATTCTAATTATAATATAAATATCATTAGTATATGTAAATTTATGGGTAGAACAAGTTTGCCTTAAATTATAAAGGCTATTGTTTAGATAGTTTTTGAGAAAAATAGGAAAGTTTGATTTTATAAGCAAAATACAATTTTTTGTTTTAAAAAAGATTTTTTTTAGTCAAATTTTCAAAATTTTAGTGATTAGTATCTACTTAGGTTTGTTTTACACATTTATTATTTAAATTGAAATTTTTGAAAAAAAAATTATGATGTATTTTTTAATTCTGGCCAAAATTATAATTTTTGGCCAGAATTAAGTGGTGTGGTGACGATCATCACTGGTGATATTTAGCAATACCCTAATTAAAAAAAACGTTTCACAACGTTTTTTTAATTAATTTAAAGAAAAAACATTGCGAAATGTTTTTTCAAAGTATATTTAATTAGAAAAAATGTTTCATAACGTTTTTTTAATTAATTTAAAGAAAAAATGTTGAGAAACGTTTTTTCAAGGATTTTTAATTAAAAAAAATGTTTTGCAACATTTTTTTAATTGATTTAAAGAAAAAATGGTGTGAAACGTTTTTTCAAAGTATATTTAATTAGAAAAAACGTTTCGTAACATTTTTTTAATTAATTTAAAGAAAAAACGTTGCGAAACATTTTTTCAAAGTATTTTTAATCAAAAAAAAATGTTTCACAATGTTTTTTTGGGATTGCTTTAATAATAAATATTGCGAAATTGCAAATAATTTGCAATTACGCAAATGTTTCACAATTTCGCAAATGTTCCGCAATTCTGCAATTATTCCGCAATTGAATTACAATACTTTGCAGAATTGCGGAATTGCAGAATATTTGCAGAATTGCAGATAATTGCAGATTGCAGAATTGCAGATATTTAGGTTTAAAAATCTGCAATATTTCGCAATACCGTAAATCGCAATTATTCTGCAATTGCTTATTTGTAGCACTATCCTTAATAGTGGGCAAACTTTTGCTTCATTTGACATACTTGAGCAATGTTTAAAATGATATGCAATTCAAATGGGATTTAAAACAATAATCATTCATATTGAAAAAAAAGATGATGTATATGCTCAAAATACTTACAAATGTTGTTATAGAAGTAAGTATGAACCTAAAAAAAGGCTTGATCCTACAGAAAATTAAAAGCAAGAATTAGCTTGTATAAGATGAAGATGTAGTTTTTTGTTAAATGCTTCATATTAAATTAGTTTTTATTAACAAATTTGTTGAAGAACATAACTATACGTTAAGAATTACTTCATCAATTTGCTCCATCTTTGTGTAAAATACCTGTTGATGTAAAAGAAGAGATTCTATATAAACATCTTATGAAATTACAATAGGAGGATTCTGATTGGTATTTTAATGTTGATTTTGAGGGTATAAAGGTTGAAAAAGAAGAACAAGCGGCAATGTGGTATATGCAAATCTTGATATCATGACTCCTAAAATTGTTCTTTAAAGAACAATAAAGAAGGCAATGCGATCAAGAAAATTTAATGGTTGAATCGAACATATAATTAGTATAATCTAAAAATTTATGTTTCATTATTTTTTCATTTGTTGCTTATCAATTTGCGTTTTTATTCTTAATTAATATTTATTTAAGAAGTTTGTAAATAAAAAGTGTTTTTAAAAAAAATTATTAAATCAGAATTTGAATAT